CTGTTTCCTACGTTCCCCGTGACATCCTTCCAGGCAAGGCAGAATGCGCTGTGGTTAATCCAGAAGTGTGTACAGGCCAGACTGACCAACCAACACTCCTATGGAGACTGACAATCCAGATGATACTAAACAAAATGAACAGTACTTTAATCCTCCTTGCTTTGACCTTCAGTGGAGACATAGCTGGCAGTGTCAACAGTTTTCATTTGCCAGCTCTCTACATCAAAAATCAGGGGAAGGAAAAAGACACATCCGTTCTGATTCTGCCTTCAAAGCACTCTCTGACTAAGATGCAAAGACAGCTATGTCCTGAAAAACAGCCTTTGCACAGTACAAAAAAAGTGGTCTGCAAGCCTCTCTGGTACACATGTATTCTCAGCTCAGAGGAAATTTGGTCCTATCAAAGCACTATGACCAGTGCAGTGAGCAAGATGATTGCTCAATGGATGTCACCTCTTGCAGGCTTTTTGAAGGTTGTAGAAACACAGTTTGAATACATGCCAGCGTGTGCCATGCTTTGTACCCTCCTAGAACAGTCTCCAGACAGCATTTCAAAGAACAAGTCATCCATGTTGTCTGATGGCACCCTCTAGAGTACTCCAAGAATCCAGCATACTTATGGTTTCTCCGTATTTAAGAGCTGACTGTGCAAGGAAGTCTGCCTGAACACCCAAAGAACCCAATAAGCCACCAACATTCTCAGAAGAAAACATTAATTCAAATCTGCAGATTTCAGTCTCTCCGTATTTTGTGGTCCATTTCAGAGCTACAGAATTATTTCTAATACCTTACAATATTATACTGTGGCTTGTTTAGCCATGCCTTTGGGCTTAGAAAAAAGTTATAATGTCACTTTCAGATCCTTCATTCTATCTGAGTTCTGACAAAATATTTCTGTAGCCTGCAAAAGTTATGGTCAAACACTTGAAGTTCCCATGCTGTAGGATTATTGCCTAAACCCTCCCTTTTGTAGAGAGGGAACATCAGACTTGCACTCGTCACAAAAGGTTGAACATCTGCACCATAAAAATACCAGATTCTTTTTAAAGACCAAGACATTTGCTTCATGTTTTCTTTGTTCACTTCGCAAAACAGATTTGAAAGGTTTCGTGTGAGTCACAAAATTAATAATTATCATCTTCTGCAAAAGGAAGTGAAGCTGTTACATAAGTTCCCAGAAGAAAAAAGCAGTTTTTTCATCACTGGGGGATACTAGTTTATCATCTCCAAAAATGAGCAAATAAAAACAAACCACTAAAGAGACCACTGACTAAACCAATGCCATCAGAAATAAGTTCTAAGCCAATACAAGACAGTACAGGAAACTAGCTAAACTAAATTTAAAAGTCATTTAGATCCTCACAAAATAAAATGCCTGAAATACCAATTTGCCCTGAAGATGTTACAGTACCAGAGTCCCTAAAGAACATCAAAGTTTGGGCCTGACACAATTAGGAAGGACTTCTTCGTACAGCAGGGGTGAACACAGCCCTTTCCTAGAAGGATTTTATTTTGCCAAATTCTCAGTTTTTCTAGAGTAGAGGACAAGAGAAACATTTGCAGAGCACTGCATTTCAGCAGAATAATTTGATAATGTGTTAATGAATAATACCAAAAAGAAACTGTTACCGACCCAAATTCATACATTTCAAGTTGAGACTTATTAACTTTTTAAAGTTCTATGTAGAAATAGTTGTGTTCCTATTCCATCCCAAAACTAACTCATATTTCTTTGGAAAATCAGCACTCAAAAAATGCATAGTGACATATGAGTACAAGAAATCTAAATTTTCTTCTCTTATCCTAATAAGTGAATGTGAAAAGTTTCTATTGGACTCATATCCTTAAATATTAATAAAGACAACAAGGAAAATTCCAGTTGTTACAACATTAGCTCAAACTATGGGAACACAAATTCAAATTCCTTGATATTTGCAAGTGGATTATATTCTCTCTGCTTTACTCCTCCATCTGTTATTTATAAGATAAATGATTCAACCTCTATTCATCCTTTTCAATTATTTATTTTACAGTAAATATTCTTTCACTACTATTAAATTCATCTAGAATAAGTTAAGTGCAAGCTGCAGTCTAGTTAGCTAGCTCATCTGAAAAGGATCTGGAGAGTACAAAGGATCATAAATCTAATAAAGTCAATAGTGCCATGCTATTGTGAAGAAGATTGGACTGAGTCACAGAAGTAAATAGATTGCAAGGCATATCATGCAGTAAAGTCTACAAGGTATTGACATCAGCATATCTGAGTATCGTGTTCATCTAGGATCACCACACGTCAAGAAAGGCGTGGAACAGCTGGAAGAAATCCAGAGGAAATTAAGAAAGATAGGAAATTTGGAAAATATGGCCAGTGAGGAACTATTGAAAAAATAGCAGTTATTTAACCTGAGGAGTGAAAGGTCAAGGGAAGATAACAGCTTTCCACTAAGCCAAAGAAAGGAATTATCTCCTTTTTGTACCCATCACGCTGGAAAAGAACTAATGCATTTTTGGTGAGAACATCTCTCATTGAAAGAAAAAGTTTCTTATAATGAGCAAACAGAACTATCAGAGTGGATTCCTGATTTCTTATTGAAACATTCCTCACTAGAAGTCTCAGCAAGAAGGAAAGACAAATATCTGTCAGGAATAGTACAAGTAGTATATTTTGCTTTTCAATAAGAGAGTGGACTAAAGAAATTGCATCTATTTCAGTTCAATTTTATGATTTTATAAAAACAATGTCCTTCTAAACAGCTAAATAGGCATTGCTTTTCAGACTACATGAGAACACCTCTGCCTCAAAATCACACACCTCAACACTACTTAACACAGTGACAGCCACGACAAAAAAATGAAAGATAATTAATTAACATTTCTTCTACACGTGTTAATATTTTCCCTGTTTCCTACAAGTTTAGTAATCTTTCTGTTCTAAAAAGGTACATACCTCCATTTCTGCAATATAAAAGAGTCACTGAAAAATAAATCCAGAAGGGACCCTTCAGTTCTATCAACCAGATATTTCAAGGAAACCCAGAATGTAAGGATAGGAAAGCCACTTGTGGAACTGCATTTAATATAGCTTTTATTTGGAAAGGAAATCATCAAGTTACTCTCTAGGTACCAACGTCAGTCAGTTTTGCTCCATCCTGTCATAATTTGATCAGAACCATGACCACTTCCAGGGAAAAACTCCAGCCTGCAGGAGTTCAACGTTCTCAGTGTGGTCCTGTAAGGAGCCGGGAGTTGGAGTCTATGATCCATGAAAGTCCCTTCCAAGTCAGAATATTCTATGATGCTATGAAATGCCGTATATTACTCCTAGGTTGATATTAGGGGATAGACTGTAGCCTTAATAAGGATTTGATCAAGTATTCAGTAAGCAGTTAATTTGTTTTGACCCATTAAGTTACTGTAAACAATTATTTGGCTGACATAATTTGTAAATTCACTTTATTGTTAAATAAACACATTATTAGTATTCTTGCTAATACATCATCATCATGCAAAAATAAATGAAGTTATTAATTTTATTCGTATTTCTATTTTGAAGGTGTCTGTCTATGCAAAGCAACAGAGACTCATCATCCTACAGTGTAAACACAGTATTCCATACAGCATCTGCCTCTAGCACATGCTATAACTGTCAAGTTAAGAACATTACCTTTGAACTACATCAGAGCTTTATTTCAAAAATACAGTTAATTCTATTGTTCAAGAATTGCAACTTAACCACCACAGCATTCTTCACATTACTTCACATACAATTTCATGGCTGCAATTGATCCTTTTCACTGCACAGCAGCTTCATACAGTAGGCTCAATTTCTTACTTGGCTAATGAACAAACCTCATGAACTGTTTTCAGATTTAAAAATTCATTAATTGATAAAATATTTTGCATGCTATTTCATAAGTTAAGAAATGTGTTAATGTTAGAACTTCCAGAGATAGAAGAAGTGATACTATTTAGTAGTAACTGTCATTTACACCTTTTACACAAAATAATCAGAGGATTTAAATAACTCAGTTTAATATTTATCCAGGAACTGGCAGCCACTATTCTACCCTGAGGCATCTAACTCTTCATAAAAACCTCATTTTACATGACACTCTAGCAGTTTTGGCATTACTAACATCTCTCACATAAACCATGCTGGAAACCATAGTTTATCTTGCCAAATGCCTTTTGTACATATGGTGTTTAACAGCACTCTGCAGGTCTGTAAGCCAGTAACAATAGATGTAAGCTAAAAATCTAGAGACAAGCATACATGCAACATGAAGATTTAAGCTGAGCTGCATGTTCATACATATATTATCTATATACCTTCACAAGCACATAAACATACATAATTAAAAGATTATTTAAATCAGTATACTAAATATAACTTTTGTAAAAATAGTTTCTCTTTCAATTTGTAATAGCTTCCTAAAAACTACATCTGCTCCCATTGACATCAGAGGCAGAACTTGGAACAACCTCAGCAACACATTACTCAGCCACAAGAAACACAATAAAAATAAAACAGTAAAAGAGTGGACAACAGAAACTGCATCTATTTCAGTTTGAAACAAGAAATATACCTGAAGAAAACAAGTACACATTTATAAAAATTTTTTTAAACTACCTAAGGATGGGCTTGGTCCTTTGTCAGGTTAACCTCCACAGCAAACCTGAGAATTTCTTTAATAACATTTATAATATCCTGAATCTTCAATTTGTTTCTACAAATACTGCACATATAACAATGCTTATAATGCTAGAAGAAAACCTATTTAGGTGCCTACATTTAACAAGAGAGAGACCCATTCAAATGCGTATTGTAGGCAAGAGACTTCACATTCTCTCTTGCTGGGCACTATGTCATCTCTGAAGCGAATCAGTGAGTAAAACAGTGTTCAATACAAATCCTTAAATTAAGATGCTTTTTATCAAAGAGTGATGTATGTGTTACTACACTGACAGTCTGGTAACAAAGAAATGCTGAAAATGCTTACCGCTTTCAAAACAGGCATCAAATACAAGATGTCCTTTTTTAGGCTGTCCAGAATAACCAGTTGGGAGAACAGTGTACTTGTTCACGTTCCCTGCTATGATTTCATCGCCTCCTATGTCACTACCTGTTGCAGCAAAAGCAGAAATAAAGCATGAGCATGAAAAAAAAAAAAGCAAAAAAATTAAAAAGCTAATAGATGGATGTGCTTCTCTAAATAATGTGGAATTCCCACCAGTCAATGAGCTTTCTTTTCAAAGTTCGCTTAAGAATTGGGTTAAAATAACATTGTAAATTAAAGCTTCTCCAACAAAACACACAGCCTGATTTTTTGTTTTTTAATGTCCTGCAGTTGAACACTCTCTTATGCAATGAAATTTAATCTTCAGCTGGATCTACTTTGTTTGACTGGAACTCTCCAATACACATACTTTGCATGGACAGCCCAGAACTAAACACCTATCACAGCATATCCCATGGGCATCAATGGCACCTTTTTCCTCTATCCTGCTGCCCGTTTTCATGCATCTTACCGTAAACTCAGAATCTGTGAGAACATTTAGGTCCCACTCCCATTTGTGAATTTAAATTCCTTAGAAGAGAAATATATTCAAGGAGAGGTGATCATGCAGACCTTGCTTTCTCAGCAAATAAGGCCCAGAAAGTGAACTTAAACAAAGAAAAATGTCAAAAACACAGTTTTTATTTCAAAATAAAATACAAGGACGCATTTTTTTACACTACCACACAGCTTTTGTCCAAATCCACCATTAGTGCATATATTGAAAACCTTGTCCTCTCAGTCAAATTACACTGTCTGGTAAATTACAGTGTGTACAAAATTTGTTTCCAAGTAGGAATGCAAAAACAGTGACTTTTTATTCCCATTTGAGAGATGTAGAAGAAAATAATTTAGTATTTGTATATTGCATTATACATTTTAATGAAAGAGATATACAATAATATAATTAGCTGTTTATTCTTCCAACACTGGCTCATTTTCTTCATTAATTACTGTTTGGACAAAAATATCTAACAATAGAACAGTAATACTCTGTGTTAGGGAAAACTAGAAGTAAACTTTATGTCTTCAAGTGCAGAAGGTGCATGACGGAATAATGGGATGATAATATCTTATTTCACTGTGATAAATACAGCTACTGAGGCTTCTAGAAATAGACTTTTGGTCTGAACTGATTTTTTGACATTTAAATGGGTTATAGGCGATGATGAATGTGACACAAAGCTCAATTTGTTTTATTTTTATATTGAAAACTATTTCACACAAATGTTACAAGCAATTCATATTGCCCTGAATGATGAAAACAGCTTATTAATTAAAAGTGACCTTTCCATACATAAATGTATTCCACCTCTTGAGGCAAAACACCTTAGCTGAGGTAACAAATTACATCAGTGTGTTAGTGACACCACAGCTAAAGGGTCTGGCAGCCCTTCCATTATACACCCATATTTTCAGAGGTATATAAATCCAGATTTAGAAATACGTATATCTATATCAATACTTGGCATACAAATTTGCAGTCTTCCATAGAAGGAATTTGAAACTTTCTTTCAGAACTCCTGTAACAGAAGAGAGAGGTTAGATGTTTTCCTATTTTACCATAATACAAAAATTGAGAAATTAAATACCGTGTGCTAATATTTTTTAGCCAAATTATTATTTGCAACCTCAATGTTATTAGTTTTAGAATGATTACCCATAGACAGCAATTTGTAGGTAATTGTTTTCTTTGAATATAGAATCATTTGCTTAACCATACATATATATATATATATATATTTTTTTTTTTTTCAGCTCTGCAGAGTGTAAACAAAAGGCATCAGCAATGCTGCTATTAGCTGGTAACACCAGAGGCAGACCCAGACCTGAACAGGGCATCCATATGTCTGTATGGCCATGATCATATCACTCAGTACAATTTATCCCTCTGAATCATGCAATTAATAACAGCAGCCATAGAAAAACAATCTCTAAGTTGCAGTTCAGTGCCATTTTGATTAAGGGACCCCACATATCTGTAGCAGTTAGTCAAATTCATTGTTTGCAGTTCAACACATCAAGTCCAAAATACAAAGCAACACTCAGGGAAAACCTGCAGATCTCCTCCAGGAATGCTGGGGTAGCCAAGGACCAAAGTGAAAGATGGGAGGCAGCTGAGTACAGCAGCAAGAAGACTGAACTCCTCTTGGTAAATGCTCACTTGCAAGTCTCAACTAAAAATTATAGGCTTCTAATTCTTGAAAGATTGCTGGGAAATACCACTTAGACAAAGATGAAATGAGGAAAGGTAACAGCATTGCCACTTCAAGACGATTGTAGGACAAACAGACAACACTACACAACAACATCATGTGCCATTTGGTGTGCCTCCCTTACCCGATATAGAGAACATCTAAGCTGAGCTTGCACTGCTGTATTGCAAAATAGACATGGCTTCACACTCGTGTGTTCAGCAGATGCAGCAAGTGCTGCTTGCAATACATTACAATCTTTAGATGGTGAGAACCACGTTACACGGTGCTGAAGGCCCCCTTCTCTTCACAAGTTAGGAACCCTATGTAGTTGCTCCTGGATGATGGTAAGGATGCATAATAGAACATTGTGGGGTGGGGTAATAGCACTCCAATCTCAAAAAAATGAAAGAAGAAGAAAATTAACTGAAGAACGTACTGCACTATTCTCAAGAACAAGCTGTCCTTTGGAAAAAAGGTCAGATAAGACAAGAAAAGGCAAAAGTAATTTAGCAAAGAAATTTTCTCATACTGTAGGTCTTATTTGGTCAATTATTTTCCTTATAGGTTGAAAGGCACATGGCTATTTATACTGTTTCTTCATACCTTCAATGCTTGGAGTGCCCAGCAAATCCCTACCATTTACTTCTACCACAGTATTAAACTTCAGTGGCAATTTTCTAACAAGAATAAAGTCAGTAGGTGAACAAAATCTCTAAGTTGTTAAACAAGGTTTTAAAATTCAACCTGGATAGTGTCTTTCAGTGCCTGCATTCATGACTGTGGTCAAGCTCCACATCAAAAGAGTGAGAATGAACAGAATCAGTTACAAGGAACTTCTTCTGTCTTAGCAGGAAGACTTGGAAACTTCCAGAGCTTCTTACTATTCTCAAGTTCAAAGGGTAAAGCAAACAATTTTTTTAATTTAGGCAAAGCTGAAAACAGTATTTGCCACAGTAAACATCATGCAAATTCAGGTACATTTTCTAAAAAACAAAAATACCTGCAGCTTCTAGAGAAGCAGAAAGTAATAGTTATTCCCCGCACTGGGTAAATAACAAACCCACTTCCAGCTGTGATGAACTTCAGAATCCAGGGAGATGGCAACAAGCAGCTATCCCCATGCAACATTAAGTAGCAGAGAGCACAGCTGCATGAAAACAGACAGAACTTTGCCTGGAAAACCCACATCGTAATCAGGCTTACTGCCTAACAAGGATACATGAGTGGAAAGGTAAGACAATCCAAAAAGGCCCAATAGCTGCAACTGATCTTTGTCAAAGTATTTCTTGGAAGTGTCATCAAAACGTCTCTCAGCTCATTCTGTTATCAGGACCAAATTAGGATTGTTGCTGTTGTTCACAAAAGAGAACTATTGCTGTTAAGTTTTCTTGCTTAATTGCTCTTAACAATAGGATGAGCAAACAAACTGGTTTCCAAACATGGCAATTCTCATGTTAATCTCATCTCTTCTGTACAGTCAAAAAATAAGCCAAAAAAATCCAGCATTCTTCAAGAGAAATGAGCAAAACAAACAAATTCGCTTCACCTTTGATTACAAATCTAGCATAGGCTGGCTCTTCTAATCAGTTCTGAACAATCTAAATATTCTACTTTGGGTTCTGTCCAGAATAGGAATTGAATTTGGAATGATCCATTGTTATGATCAGAAAGATTAATACAGTGGAAGGGCAGTACAGGAACGTAACAAGAAAGAGACCACCATGGAGAGACAGGATGGTAGTTTAACGGAAAAGTAAAGGTGCTCAGCTATCTCCAAAGATCCAGAAAGACTCCACAAGAGAGAGATCTCCAACCAGAGATCTTTCCACAGGCACAGTCATCCCTTAAATGAGGTCTAAAGGTGCAGCCAGGCTCCACCCCTTCTGGTCACACAGCTGAATTGCCTTCACCTGTGCTCCAAGGGCTGAGCCAGTCCTTTCCCCAGGTGCTCAATCAGTGCTTCGGGCTGTGACTCAACAGTTCCCATACACACATCAAAATCAAGCCACTAGGTCTAAAATATGCACTGTAAAACTACTTTATTTTGAGTGACTTCCTGAAACTTAATGGCTAAATTAATGCCAAATAGAGTAAAATTGTTACCTAATTTTAAAACCTATCTTTTCAGCTACCATACTTCCCCTATCTGGATATTGGCCAATTATGATGATAACTTATACTGCTTAAAGATATAATAACCAGATTCTCATCCTCCACAGGCCAAGAGAAGTTTCCAAGTATTGTAGCAAAGACCATCATCATCCTTGAACAATATAGTTGTTGTATGCCTGTACAAAGAATTGAATATGGACTCTCAGTACAGTCTGCAATAAACAGAAATTTGCTCAGGTGTTCAACAGTAGTTCCTAATGTAACAAGTCCATAGTGAATCTTGTTCAACTTATGTTTTGGACCAGAAACTATTATGAAGGTTATGTCAATAACAGTGTCTTTTCCACCAATCAGAGAACTGCAAACAGTGTAATATTATCAAAAGTATTTTATATCTGCTTTTATAGGGGAATTCCTAGAATCAGTGTTGTTAGTAGCTCTTTATGTTCCACTTTTCTTTCAATATTTTAATTAAAAGATTCAGATAACAATGTTCCTAGGCTTCTGCAACACTGGTAGAACTTATGTCTGCTAGAAGTTCTGAGTGCTCCATAGCTATCCTAAAAGTTCTATGGGCAGCAACAGTCAGGAACTCGGAATTCCAATTCCACTGGCTTCAAAAATGCAATGAAGAAAAGAAGCAGCAGCAATTGTCAGTTTGGTCTTCACAACCACACATCCTGAAGACTGGGCATGATCCTCAGAATCTGAACACACTGCATAGGTCTGTCAATCTGAAATGTACTTCACTCACAC